AATCACACCAAACGACAAGAAATGAAACGATACGTATCCATCAAACGACCACCAGCACCACAATTAATTCTATTGATTAATACATTCATACATAATACTAAAACTAACCAAACTTTCTGTATAGGTGGGGGTAAGGATGTGGACTGTACATATCACCACAAGAATATGTACAAGAGATAAAGTAAAGTGTCCGTCCTTGGTAAATTTTTTCACATGAAAAGCCAAACCAAACGCATTTCACAAAGTATCTAAACAAGTGTTGTTCCATAATACTTACTAACGAAACTGTTGGCAGGTCAGTCATGGATGCAGCAGCCGTAACATTGTGCATGTCAAGCAACTCAGTTAGGATAGGCTGAGATGAATCGAAGCATGATAATGATAACAATAGCAGAATGGACACAAAGGCAACCAGACACAAATGATCAATTTATGCACAAGGAGGAAAAGGAAACCAAGCTAAAGTTAAAGCTAGCCAAGCATTTAACGCCTGTGTATTCCCCTCCTTCCCACCAAGTCAAATGAGACATTAAGTTTAATGAAGCAAATTTTTCCCATAGATTTCACGCCGTGATGGAACGCTTCACCAGTTTAATTGCTAAAATTTTGCAAACTTGTTTCTCAGTTTTATATTTCAGTCAATATTACTTACGTGTTAAGTAATATTTGCTCATTTGCTGGGGTGGTGTGACTGGTTTAAATGACATCACGAACGAATGACGCCGGTGTCTTGTTATCTTTCGCCTCCCAGTGAATAAACGATGCTGCATGTACTGCTGCTGGACAGACAGGAGCGAATAATGGGGACGATGATGAAGTAAAGATGAGTCGTTTTTGTAGCCAATTTGAGTCGTCGTCGGCATGCATGCAAACTCAACCTGGCAGCTTTTTTTACCTGTCCACCGTACCCACTGCTGCATGCATACCTGTCCGTAGTTAGTAAGTAACACGTGCATTTTAGGGTGTACTGAAAATTCAATAATATCCATTCATCATTCCGTTCTTGCGCTTACCTTACCTTCTTCTTCCTTCTCACCAATCTTACCTGCCTTGGGTCTTACTTGGCTGTTGCTTTTGGTCGTCGCCTTTTTTCACTCACCTCCAAGCGAGTAAGTAAGTGACTGAGCTTTACCTTAGCTTTACCTTAGTTTACTCGTGCCAGTCAGTCAGCGCAGATCACATCCTGCTCAATTATACACTACACCAACCAGCAGCGTGTGTGTGTAAAGGGAATTCGAGACGAGACCAAAAGCAGAGTTCAGTCTGATCAGATTAAGTTTTTGGAGGAGTGGTGATCCATCACTCACCATTAATAGGCAGGCATTGATCTTTATCCTCGTTATCCTGGTCCTCATCTGGTCCGTGTGGGTGTGTCGTACGGGACATGACGACGTATGTGGGACTCGAGTTGTGATCTGGTGACTAAATATTTAGTTATTTATGAGACGATGACTTTATGGGAATAATAATAATCGTGTGGGTGGTGGTATGGTGTGGTCATGCAAATTGTGACCTATTATACTCGTGGACAAGTCGGTTGGCTGGAAAATCCGGGTAGTGCTGACGGCATTCATTGACTCCTCTGGAAATGAAATGGATTAGTAACTCGTAATTGGACGAGCAACGTTCGTGTGGGACTTGTGTTTGTGTTTCGGGTGTAAATTCGGTGTATTGCCTAGTTAGTTTGAGGGGGAATAATACTCAATAATGGAGGAGGTGACGAATAATATGGTGATGATGAACGGGAACGGTGTGGGGATGAGTCAGAACTTGAACAATAACAAGGTTTGATTTGATAATTTTCTATTTGTAAAATGTAATTAGCGCATTTGTTCGGGTTTCCTGGTACAATTTGTACGGAATCAACCAGTGGTTTGGTTTGGTTGTGGTGGTTGAGGCAGAATTATTATGAAGAGTTGATCCGATTATGAGGAAGAATTGCGAAATTGTGAACATGACATGTATGACGTGAAGAGAGTGAGAAGTGGGGATCAAATTATGCAACTTTTCATCCTTTAAATGACAATTTAGATTTAGACTGGACTTACTTTATTTGCAATATTTTAGTTGCATAATATGTTCCTACTTCACCGATTTTGCAAAATTTAGTTAAATTTTGTCAATATTTCGACGATTAAGTTACTTAAGATTACAAAAAATGGGCTTATCGAAATCAAGAAGTATTTCATAAATCTTAACTTTGCAAGAATTAAATGCAATTGGTCAACGCCACTTGTTGTTTTTACGAATATTTCATATCGCAAAAATAGAAAAAGATGAACTTCGACATTCCCATGAAACTTGACTCTGCCAAAGTGAATTTTATAAATCAGTAAATTTCAAAAATATTTCCCCATATTTCCGGATTGTTTTATCAAAAACATGTAAACATTTCGCTTAGTTGGGGTGGCCCGACCAATGTGCAAAGACAAATGTGCAAACGACAAATGTGCAAAGACATTTGTGCAAACGATAAATGTGCAACCTGACAAATGTGCAGCCCGATAAATGTGCAAACGATAAATGTGCAACCGATAAATATGCAGGAATTTTTCCAACAAATGGTGCAATATATCTTGATATAATTTAAACATAAAATCAAATTACATCTCCTCAAAAACTAAAATTTGAAACATTAATTTTGTGGTGGCATCCCGTATGATGTCTGTTGAAGCTGTAGATCTTATATTGAGCAGTATTAATTTATTGTTAACTTAATATTTTACTAAATTATATTTTTATGGTGCATAAATTTCCTGGTACATACATCTTCGTGAATTCGTGAATTTTAGCCTATCGTATAGGCTGGAATTATGCACATATAAAAATTCTAAATTTCAATGAAATAATTCGGGATTTACTTATTTGCTGTTATTTTAAATTCTGTCCCCGCGGGGTGTCCCTAACTAAAGTTTAATTGTCACTAGCTAAATTTAGCATTACAGTGATTCGGCACGGGAATTTTATTATAAAATTGACAGGGGTCAACCCCGTTATAATGATGATTAGTAATATTTAATAAGTATAAAATCTGCATTATAAGATCTCCAGCTTCATAAGCTTCACCACAAAATTAATGTTTCAGAATTCTTAGTTTTTTGATAAGATGTAATTTGATTTGAAGTGTAAATTATATCAAGATATATTGCACTATTTGTTGGAAAAATTCCTGCACATCTATCGGTTGCACATTTATCGGGCTGCACATTTGTCAGGTTGCACATTTACCGTTTGCACAAATGTCTTTGCACATTAGTCGTTTGCACATTTGTCTTTGCACATTTGTCACCCCATCTTAGTTGGCAAGAAAGACTGAAAATTCATAATTTGTTCATAAATATTTATATCAGCCGTACGTACATATTTATGTTAATTATTCACCTTCACCATTAATATTATTTATTCCACCACATTTCAAATACTAGCAGCTTATTGAGATCAATTAACAAGTATTTTCAATTTGCTCACTACCTGAGCACACGAACAATACAGTTGATTACACATTATTAATATTTATCAGCACTCGATCTAAATATCCTCCAAACCGTGATTAAATTAATCGCGACTCTTTTTCCCATTGTTGTCATTATTTATTGATTGTTAATCCTCACCTGACTTCTTCTTTTTCTTCGTGGTCACACACTTACATTCATTGTGACCAATTGAATATATAAATTGAGAGAGAGAGAGAGGAATACACGACATGTTTGATGGTAATGAGGGAATGAATCATGCATTTATCGCAGCATTGGTATTGTCCATCTTTACTCGTCGTCGTCGTCGTCGTCGTCGTATCTAAAAAGAAGATGCCAACTCAATTGAATACGAACAAAAGCGATGCGAGGAGGACCATAATAATGCAACTTTTAGCGTCGTCGTCTTGGTCAGAGGTGGCCAAATTGTCAAAGTAAAGTACTTGCAGTGTCTCGTGAAAGAAATAACAGCAAGGTGTTTTTTTTCTATTTTAACCTGCAAAAAATGCTAGGTGCATGAAACTACTTACGCCCGATACGTCGCGTCGAGTCGCTATCGACGTATAGAAGGCTCCAGCCATACGAAAATACAGGTTTTTTGAAGTAATCAACTTGTTTTCACGATTAAAAAATAATGTATTTTGTCAGCGATCAAAAGTTAAATTCTTGGCGTAACGTGAATTTTCGATTGCCTCTCTTGCCCCTCCACGTATGCAGATTCTCGTCTCTCTGTGGGTGTAACCTGTCTGGAAATGTACCCCCTTGGAAGACAGAGCGGACGTCAAAGGACTGTAGTTTGATGACCAAGTGTCTGTATTTTGGCCACCTCTGTTGCGTTCTTTGTGGAGCCGACGTCTCTCTGGTGGGTTGGATTGGATTGGCATTTGGTATTTGGTGTGAGACCTTGTTTTGCCAAGTTGTGGTTGGTCGTAACGAGGCGAGGACTTGATATTCCGTCAAGAGTTGCATTATTTATTATTATTTATTTATTATGAGATGATCACCATTATGATTGGATGGTTAAACATGGCGATGGAGAATTTATGTGCAGGATGAGAAGCATTATGTAAGACTACTGATTGATTGACTGACTGACTGACTGGCTCAATGGCTGCGTGACAAAGGAAATAGTAGTCGAACGAACGACGATACATAAATAATATTTATTTATTAAAAAGAGATCCTTTTGGCATTCCATTCATAAATTCGGTGAAGGTTTCAACTCATATTTTGTGGTGAGTTGCTTTGCTAAATTTGCATTATCATAAATAATAAGCGACAAATAAAGACTTGCCAATTTTTGGCAAGGTGGGTAAAAGACAAAGTTTTAGTATTTATTGCTATTTTTATGATGATGAATTTTATGTGTGAGCTTTATTACGAAGGACGTTTATAGAGAATGGCAAATTTTTGCAAACATATACAATGAGCAAATAAATGGCTACTAATTTTGCACAAAATCCTGCACGACTCCCAATTTAGGTCCGATATGTAATTTTAGTAACTTGTTTTCTCTACTTTTTTCAGACATGTGAGAAAGAGGGCTACTTGATGAAACAAACGTCCTCCTTTCAACGTTGGCATAAACGCTATTTCAAAATTCTTGGGAAAAAGCTGCTCTACGGGAAGGATGAAAAGGTAAGCACACTTATCAACACGCTTATCCACCCCTTAATCTCATGTGTGTACAACGATGATGAAACACTGTCGGTAAACAATGTGGTCACAAAAGGTGGACTGGTAAAAACTCTTGAGAAATTAATGGTAGCGAATTTCGTGCCCAATTGTCCTTCGTTAGCCTTCTTGAGAAACAAATTTTTTCACTGCGGATTTGAGTAGCCGCATTATTTTAGCCTGTACGAGGACTAACTTTCCCCCACTTTTCATATGTAAATCCTCTCCCCCACCCATATCATCCCTGGCTGCACGTTATTTCCCACTTGACTCTCATCTCATCCAGACTTTCTCCTCTCCTCCCTTTCTTTCTGCATTATTCATCACTTTTCTTTCTACTTTGGGGCATGAATTTTACCCCGAGAAAAGTTGGCCTGATCCTGATAAATACATACTTTTTGGTGACTCTCTCTCTCTCCGGGCATGTATATAAAACCCGGGTAACCCCGTAGCTCTGTCTCCACTCGTTTCGTGGCTGTCAGACGGTTTGGTACTCGTTCCGAAGAAATGGACTCGTTCCTCCTCCAACTTTTGTCTAGTTGGGTCAATACTTGTTGTTAATAATATTATTGTCGTCCTGCCTGCCCGTACTTTCCCCTCGACGTAGGACGAGCTCTAAATAGTTGTTAAGTAGTCCTCATCTGGAGAAAGTTTGGGTTTAGATGTTGGTGCGAACCCCACGCGGGGAGGAAGGAAATACGGTAAGTAAAAGTTGTTTTTCTCCAGTGGAAACTTTTCTCCTTCGACACGATGAGTATTTAGTCCTACTTGACACACAATTTGAGCCCCACGTGCACCTAAGCATTCTCCATCGTTCATATCGACGACTTGGCTTATCCACCATCACCACCGCCACTCGTGTTGACCTAGTGACGAGTGGATAAGCGAGGGCGGCCTGTACCACCACCACCAGCGTTTAATGTTTTCGTTTTACCAGATTACACCAAATTTGTGAAATAATTACGTTTTATGTAACTAGAAAAAATCGGAATTTCTTCATTTTGCTAATGAAAATTTTACAATAGGAATCAGGGTTTTGTTACAAAAACCATAATTTTGAAAATCCACAAGAAATCGACTCCACGAATCCACAAAAAATTGTCCAAATAATATATATACATAAAACCAATCTATGACAAACTTTTTGAAATTTTAAATCAATTTATCTGTAATTTATCATCACGCCATAGGTCAAAATGACATGCTAAAAATAAAGTATTAAGGTGTGGTGGTACTGTTTGTACTCGCTTATCCACTCGCTTATCCACTACGTGGTGGTGGATAAGTCTAGTCGTTGGAGCATTGTCTCTCGACACCAATATCGTCACTGGCTGGTAGTAAATTATCCCATAGTCGTATTATTATTATGATGATGTTCCACCCGTGTTAAAAATTTATTGCCAATTTTATTCAATATTCGCATCATTTCTGTTCCGCATACATCCCATTTTTATGGCTGATTGGGTTATTAACTGGACTGGAATACGTTTCATGCATGGCCGTAAAATAGCGTAGACATGAAATTCATCACGAAGGGAGAAAAATTTTAATAAGTTAATGAATCATGAGAACGTGCTCATTTTGCGAGGATGGTATTAACCTTTTATTACTCGTCGTAGGTGATTTGTACGGGGTTATTTTTGGCACGGCTAATTTAAATTAATGCTTATTGGAGATTTTTACGATGGCAGATTTAACCTTTATGTAACAGAGATTACATATTAAGGATTAAGTTTTATGTAGTGTAATTTTCCCCATTAGAATTTTACATTTCATTAATAAAGAGTATGAAAATTGAGCCTGGGGAAAATTACCTAGCTCATTTTTCTGAGCCGTTGAGGAATCAATTTACATAGTAGAAAAATTGATTTTTATATGCTCCGTTTTTATACGGACGAAAAAAAGTATGAGATTTTGTATCTACTTTCGTACTAAAAACCTTATGATCTTTGTTGTCAGTTCTTAGCCAGAGCTTAAGAAAGAATCTGGTTGTCTGATAACCACTTGTCTTGTCCCGCTGGTCAAGTAGAGAATTTGGTGCCGAATAATCGCAATTAAAAATAAGCAACAATTATTGCAAATTAATGCAAGATTTTGTGCAAATTCTTCAAATTCTTCAGTGGATTATAATCCGACAATTTTATTTATAGGCCACAACACTGACAAATATGTGTTGGCTATCAAAACCTGGTTTGCGATGAGCGATGCAAAGCTATACTGCTTCTTCTCCGTTTTAGCATTATTATGATTATGTTAATGTCATTATTAAAGCGAGGTCGGATTACATGCAACGGAGGGAATGGACTTTGCGAAAAAATGGCATAATTGGCAATTGAACCCCTTCTTCCCAAGTATTCCTTTTCGTATGTAGTTAGTTTGACGAGAAAAATGAGAAGTTCTTGTGTCGCAAAAAAGCATGGAAAAAATCCCGAGGAAAACAATTCTATCATATTTCTCAGAAAGAAATTAGCCGTGTATCTATGTACATTGCCTTCCGTTCTTTTTGTGCGAGTAGAGTGTAAAGTATTTCATTTTGAGAGGAGATCAAGTAGCGGAGGATTTATTATTGTGAAAAAATACGACGGAGAATGAAACTTGATTGTTGTCAATAGACACTGTTTCTTCCCTCTTCACTTTATTACTTATTTTTTCTGGGAAGAGATTGGAGGAGGAGATTGGCAACCTGCGGAACAGTGTGGAGTTGCTTTCTCCACGAGAAAGGATGTGAGTGAAGATGGATGATGATGATGATGACGGGGAAACCATACACTTTGCTGTGCTATTGGGGTCAGGAAAATCAGGATCAACAAGAGAGATTTTAAAGAAAGTGGTGGATCCTAAGCGACGACCACCTGCGCGTCACACAATTATCTCTTCTCGTACGAAAACCTTAGGAAATGTCGACGACGTGCTGCTGCTAGGCAAAAATAAATTGCAGGATAATTTTGGAGGGAGGGAGGACAAATAATAAGTGTATCTACGTGTGCACTACTCTGAATAATACGGGAACAAACTCGTGCAGGCATTTTGAGAAATTCAGAATTAAGAAAAGTTACTTTACTGTTGGAAATTTACCTAAGTTTCGGAAAAAACTAATGACACTATTTTTCATAACAAATAGTTTATACGAGAATCGATGTGTCGAAAACTTGTCAAGACATGGCGAGAGGTGGTAAATTCTGAATGTACAATGCTCATACACGATTCTGTTCCTGCATTATTTAGAGTGCGGTTGGTTGGGTGGCCGGGCAAGGTTGAAAAGAAAAAGAAAATGAGGACATGACATCCGTTTTTGAAGTTTTTCCTTTTTAAAGAAACTTTGCACTCGTGCAAACTCGTGTTGCATGATTTCCAAGTACACACGAACCCGTGTTCTTTCTTTCTTCATTCTTTTATTTATCCAGTCCAGCGAGATGAAAATAAATACGAGTCGTCTCACCCCGCCCCCCGTGACACACAAGTAAATATGGTACCCATCTTGACACTCTGACAAAGACACGGCGACAGGATGACAGAAATTGTACGGAATTGAGACAAAGTTTAATAATGAGCGAGTTCTTGTTATGCAGTTCATTGCGTGGGGAATTATCAGTTTACGCTGCGTCATTACCCTCTGGGTGCACATTTGCGTCAAATATTCAAGTTTTCGTTGGGTCATTCCTTAATTTTGTGTCCCATGAATGTTTTTTTTCTATTTTATCTTATCCAAATTATTCCTACTTGATTATCGTCCTCCTCCCTAATCAAACTTTTGTTTGTTGATTGCAGTCTCAAATATTTGAAGAAGTCGACCTGAGTGAAGTCACGATTGCCGAGAGTTCCTCAAAATCCTGCAAAAATAGTTTCCAGGTAAGCAAATTTGACTCATTCGTGTGAAATTTTTTGGACTCGTTCTTGCATTTCATGTCCGTCGCCTTGATGAGTCGTCGTCGTCGGAGTGGATAAAATATTCATGCAAATTGATTTTCGTCTGCGGCGGCGGAGGTGGTTGATTGTTAGGTGGTGCTCTTGCCTTTGTTGCTTTGGGCTGGTCGATCCGCGACACGAAAAATTAATGAATGAGTGCCCCAACTCATCGAATTGATTTTTGTACTTTCTCTTATTATACACGACCGACCAGTAGCTCATCATTTTTTATCTCGGCATTGAGTAGCACGTCGCATTTGTGATCGAGACTTTCCCCCGGCGAGGAGGAGGAGGAGGAGGTGGCCGTCTAGGAAATTTGTGTGTCATTGTCATTTCTACCTCCATACAGATTCTGGTCTAGTTCTTATCACGGGTGGTGGATGATTTGGTGTCGTCCTCTCATTATCCCGACCTGCCCGCGGATTGATGAACTGCTTGATTTGATAGGACTCACTCAGTCAGCGAATGATGGATCGGCTTCCTTCCACCCAGAGTAGACCTGGACGATAATGAAATTCTGCTGCTCCTCCTGGCAAAACGTACTTTTTCTCCTCCATCTATTATTCCGCTGGGCCATCGTGGTGGCGGTGGTGAATTGCACATTCATTCCCTTATTCCATTGATCTCGAGAAAGAGAAAGCAAGTCCCCACGCCTGCCTATTTTTGAACCAGACCTATTTTTATGTCGTGAATTTAGACTCGATGAATACGAATCTGCTATGGAAAATTGATGGATGAATTTATGTGACCAGAAAACAGTTGACGTCGTGAGTGAGGGGAGAAAGTGGAATTCCATTCAACATTCCGACTTACATGTCAGATTTACGTATCTGTCAGAGTGAGCGAGTTTCTCTTCCATACGTAGATATTTGCATACGCGAGAAGTAAAGAAGAAGAGTGAAAGTTGAGACGAGCCATGCAAATTCGTGTGCCCCTTCTGCTCCTTCTATTACTTTCTTCAATGCACGAGTGGGGCTTATGGATGTGCATGCGTGGTGTACGGTGGAAATTAAATTTGGTCCTTTTTTATGAGAAAAGTCATGGTTTTATTATTCCCTGTATTGGAATTTGAACTTGCGGTTGTGTTTTTTTGGGTGTTCTGTTGGAGCTTGATTTGCTGGCATCATTTGTCAGCCTGGGAAGCAAACTATTTATTTTACATGAAGAGAAAGTTATGAGTATTATTTGATTTGAGAAAGATATTTTTTGTGGTATGAATTAAATTTGATCTTTTTATGACAAAAGCCATGATTTTATTATTCCTTTTCATGGTTTGGTTTAGTTTGGGTTGGGTGGCGTGTGGTGTGGTGTGGTTTGGGTGGATCATTTGTCAGGCTGGAAAATAAACTTGATCGAGGAAAGTTATGCGAATAATATTTGATTTTTGAAGTAGGAGGAGAAAGTTATTTTTAGTCGGGGGTTGGTTGGCGTTGGTTGGCCATATCTACACTTCCGGCCGAGAGAGACACAAATGGAACTCGTGTGTGACAAGATACACATTCCGTGTGACAGTTTCCTCTGGAAATGAGAATTGATCGAGTTTTTCTCTAGTTTTTAGAAAAAATGTGGACGAAATTCAGTTTAAAATCAGAGTGGAACTTGTTTTTGCCAGATAAGAGACTTGAATTAAATCGTCGAGGGAGTCATGTCGTGTAACTGGCTATTTTATTCATAACGCCAATTTAACGGGGAAAGTACTTTTGTTTCTGCGTACGTGTGTAACATTTGCATTAAAATTGATACCTGCGTGGGCTGTGGGTGGTGGATTACGTACGTACGGACACAGATTGGAAATAGATATCCTCGCTGTGATAGATAATGCAATTATTGTGAGGTCGCAAAAACTCAGCTCTTGTGTGTGCCCATACGGGAGAAAAACGTGACTTACCTGGCTCCCCCACGTGACTGGCTGGCTGGCTTGACAACCTTCTACATTTCATTCATCATTTGCCTTCCTTCCTCCCCGCAAATAGCTGGACCCCAATTTCATCCTGCGAGGCTTCGTAATTATGTTACGTGTGTCGTACCTGGGAAACTGGTTGATCAAAGTCCGAGCGATGGGAGGAGAGGAAGCCAACTTGACGATGTTATTAATGATGATGAAGTATTAATAGGAAATTAATTTGCTTTCTCCACTTATTAATAGGATTCCTCATCCTCTGCGCTCAGAGATGGGGAGTTTTCATAACTCCTTCCCCCCCACATCAACCTCTCTCCCGTGTGCTGCATACTCTACTTGATTGCAGATCTATGTACATGCATATTTACACGCGAAATAATGGATAAAATTAGTGTGGGGTTATAATTGACACGATTTGTTTCATATATGTTTAATTTTGCCCGAAATCATACAAAATTTGCGACCCTGATAAGATCAACAATTTAGAATTCGGCAGTCAAAAATCGGCTTTGAGTAAATAGGTAACGATTTATTTGATATGCATAAATTTGCACCAAATTTGCGAATAGAAATTTTGAATTTCATGGATAGTTTACTCACCAATCGCTCTGTAGTCGCCGTATGTGATTTGACTAATGTGTAGTGATATTTTAATTTATTTTATCATTTGATTTCATTATTTTAATATTTTCTTGTATGAATTATGATTATGTATGAATATGGGATGATGCTTAACATTGAATTTGGACAATGAACTTGTCTCTGATTGGTTGAAAAGTTTTAACTTGTAATAACATTGAGTCTACGTGGCAGTTTTGGATACTGCATGGGTGGAAAAAAGAGACCCAAAAATCAGATCCGATTTAACTTTAGAGTGGAGAGGAGTTAGTCTCACCTCTCATATTCAATTTCGGAATTATAAACTTATTTGAATTGGTGTTAATTTGAAAACAACTAAATTTTGTACAGTAAAAAACGAGAGAAGAATTACAGTGTGTCAATAAAGTCCCGTTAAATCAGCTCATTAATTTTGCTGGCTTTGAGTGTACTTATTTACGACAAGTCACCCACTCGCCTTGCATAGTTAGAGCTGCCCCCCTTGGACGGAGACGCTACCCAGGTCAAGCTGAGGATCCGAGAGTGAAAAAATAAAAAAAGCGCCAGAGCGCTTACACGCTCCCAATTCATTTAGCAGAAAATTAAGAAATTTGTCACCCTGATAAGAACGACAAATTAGAATTTTACAGATAACACACAAAACGCCCCCCAGTTTGTATTGTAAGCGTTATTTACCGTGCCCGAGAAAGTAACCAACTGCGTAACTTGTCACTCTTTTCCACGAAAATGAGCACACACACACATCCACAAAACGGATTTAAACTATGTCATGTCATCATTTCCATCTCCTACAATTTTCGGTTTATTTGTTTCATCCAATTCCGCACAACAAGCATTGTCTCTTAAAACAAAGGTCCAGATTGGATTTGATGTAGTGCTGGACGACTCTGGGAGTGAAAGTAGATTGGGACGAGTAATTAGATTTATTTCTGGGGAAAGTCAGTCAGCGGAGAGAGAGAGACTGGTCCAACACTGCGTGAAATGAACGAATAAACACACACACTCACCAAAGGAGAGAAAGCAACCTTGTCTCCAGTTCTGCTCTGTGTGGTTACATGCACAGGTTTGGGAACGAGGCGAAGGGCGATGACGTAGATGCATGAGGCGTCGGAATAGATAATAATGTGCTCCGACTTGTTTTCACTTTTAGCCACCCTCCCTCCAGGGGTGTGGTTACGCGGAAACACGGTGCACAAAGCAAGGGTGACAGTCCTGGTGGCCGTGTTGTTGTTTGGAGAAAGCCAACCTCGTGGAATGTTTTCCTGGCTGAAATGAGAGAAAGTGAATCAATTACAATAATTACAACGCTCACTTTGGTGTGAGTGAGGGGAACGTTCTTAAATTGTGAGGTGTAGGATATTTCTAATGCCAAATATGTATGGCGTGGTGAAATTAATGAACGACGTTCCCCTCGATAATAATGAGACTTGGCTGGATGGAATTCAACCTGGGCATTGATGAATAAGCAAATTAATTGAGAATTTCAGATTTATCACGGAATAAGCAAAATTCTGGGCAAGTCGCGGGACGATAACTGTGGTTTCCGAAATTCAAATTTATGTTCCACCCTTTAGTGCGAAATTGATTGCAGGATTGTAGCAAATTCAAATTTAGTCCAGAGATTTCAAGTGCGTAGGTTTAGGGACGATTTTGTTACCACGTAGGAGAGAGAGAGAAGGTGGAAACTTATTATATCATATCTGTTCACATTTGAAATTGAAGACGATCAAATTTCAAAGGGGAACAAGTATCGTCATCAACAACATAACGTAACGTAACGTCGATGACACTGTGACGTTAGGCGCATGCATGTAGGTGTATTAATAACTGGAAAATATTTGCACGTATATACCTGCGCTTTAAAAAAGAAGACCTGATTTTGACACACACACTTCTTCTTTGATGTGGTGTCTCATTATTTGTGTCCCTCGCCGTGGTTCATGTATTTACCAACAAGTAATTTTTCCTCGTGCTATTTCCGTCTCATTATTAAGATCGAAACCAACCCGTGTTCGATTTCTTGTCGACTTTTGAGAATCCCGAAAATAAATCGGGCCGAAAGTGGGAAAAGTTTACCTACGTAAACATTTTGCGACGAGGGTTAGATTAGGTTTTGGGAGAAGAAAATAGGGAACAACTTTCTCACGCCGACGTTTCCTTGCTTATTTGCCTCCTTTGTCTCACCGCAGGAATAAATAATCCTCCTTGTTTAACTTGTTCCTGTGATGATGGTGATGGCGAAGATTAAAATGAATTTCCATTTTCTATTAGGACACGACCACAAGCAAGGTTTCTCCTCCGCGAATACTTACTTATTTCTAATAATGTGGGAATGAATCCCTTCCTTTTTCCACTCCCAGACTTGACTTTTCACCCACCAGAATAGTTACGTACGTACGTGCACACGAGGTTTATTCGTCCCTTG